GGTGCAAAGAGACCCTCGCTTTTATCCTTCATAGGAGAGCCAGCCGGCCCACAGCGCTCGGAAGGTGACTTACGAAACCTCGACTCCTTCTGCACCAGTGCCAGTGATGGGCGTCAGACTGGCTCCAGCTGTAGCCATAGTCCAAGAGATCCGATCCTCGCTTCTTTGAAAATTCCATTGCGATATCCCCACCAACGAGGGCTGGTCCGGAACCGTGAGGTCCACGATCGACCTTGCAAATCTCGTCGGGTTTAGCAAGCCCTGCGAGAACCACTATTCCAGGGGCAAGAATTCTTTCTTTATGTCGCCATTTCCCAATGACCAGCGACACTGTACTGCCTTCGCAGTGGCCAACCTCACAGCCTCCACAGCTGCTCCACCACTATAGTTGTTCTCGCCCTTCTGCTTCTCCTGGAAGTTCCTGCGCCCAACGATAGGACTCTTCCGCTTGAAGCCACCACCCTCAACAACCGGCGGCTTCACAGAACCACTGTTGCACCTGTGGCCAAATACTTCTTATCCTCACCCTCTTAATCGGGTGACTGTTGGCCACCAAAAGAATTCGGTCACCTTCACCCCCTCTTTCTGCAGCATGCCACCTTAATGGGTTGATCTTGACTGGCTTGTCGAGGAAATGCAACTGCCCAGGATATACTTTTCCATTGGCTTCTTTTTCCTGAAAATTTTCATGGAACCGATCACCCTGCTGCAGCTCTTCCCAGATCTTGGAGTTATAAACATCACTCTGAGGTGACATGAGTGAGTTCTTCACCAACGTTATCGAAGAAAAATCTTGATCAGGGAAGTCTCTCTTGATTACTTCCGTCATCACCTCCACGGTCTCTGTAAGCTCCGGTTCTTTGGTGGTGCTCATGATGCCTCCCTGTTGATGCGCGCCCACCTTTGAATACACCCCATTTTCGGCATACTCCCCTTCCTTCAACTTCAATCGGTGCCCATGATTTGTTCTTTTGGCCAACGCTGAGGATAAGATAGCGTCCACCAAATCCTTTCTGGTCCAACTTTTGAACTTGCCCGCCTCTCGTCGCTGACTTTCTTAGCGCTTGGTTTGTCCGGGACTACACTCAGAGTAGTTTTTGTTCTCAATCTGTGCGTCGAAACGTCTGGATCTGATATGGGGATGATTGGCTCATCTAGGCTCCTCATCAATGGTTTCAGGGTCATGTAATCGAGGTCGAAGATGCATCGTCACAGTGAACTTGCCGTTGTCATCCTGCAACACAGCTGATCCATTGACCACATGCCATATCGATCCTATATATGTCCCTGCAACCCATCTTGGAAGGAGATCATAGCTTCCTCCTTGGCCATAAATAATCTTCTTGATCGCCACCTTGGTGCCAAAAGCAAGTGGTGCTTTTGCTTCTGGGCGAAGACGCAGTTCACGTTGACGGTGTGCTGCTGCGGTCATCGCTGATGGCCAAGACTCCACATTCACATTGGCAGCCTGTATTAGCAGGCGGGCCTGACCCTTCAAATACCTAACGCATCCCTCTGCTGAACCATTGCTTTGAGGAGATTGGCCTTCTGTTCTCGTGAGGACTATGTCTCTATCCAAGGCCCACTCCTTCAGCGCTGGATTCACTCGCCCTGTCTGAGCGAATGCGCCGAACAGGTGGGTTTCTCCTCGAAGTTGAAGGAAAAGCTCTTATGTACTGTTTGTAAAATCGCCTTGCCATTCTTTGATGCCAGTGGTTGAATGAAGTACAAGTGGTCCATCTCGACACCCTCCTTAGCATCATCGCCAATTGTCTTGTCTTCCCCATCATCTTCCTTTCCGGATTATCCGACAGGTTGCACGAGCTCCTCCTCGTCGGCCATCTCGTCAATCCTGGCCATTCTTGCTTAAGAGCTCGATGCGCATCCTGCTTTACTTGGATCATACTCCAACTCGTTTTGATTGCTTCGCAAAACCCTCCATTGCGGCCATATCTTGCTCTCCATGACCGTCTCCATGGAGCATATCCAACTGCTCATCGATTATTCCATTCTTGATGCCAATCTTCCCGCTTCCTTGAGGATTCCACACTGTCCACTGTCAGCCCCCGCCTTTCTTCCGCCTCTTCGTCGTTCTCCGTTGGATCCTCCTCCTCACCGCTTTCAGCCTGGCCTTCGTCGTGCTCTTCGTTCGGCTCAACGTGAGTGAGGCATCGTTCTCGACGAACAAGTGGTCTTGTTGAGGATCTTCTTGACCAATTTGATCTCTTCCTCTAACCGGTCTTTCCCTCATAGGTGCATTGACAGTGGAGTTGACATCATACCATGACCAACTATAACCATCTCGATTTCTTTGTTGATCCATTTGTCTCGTGATTTCCTCCAGGCCTAATAAGCTGACTCCAGGATTGAGATCCCACGCCGAAGTTAAGGCAGTTTGATCGCCTCTCGCTCCTGTCACCGCCTGTCGATTTCTGGAACTTCACCACGAAGCCTGCTCCTGTCTCTTGACCTAATTGTTGGCCTTACTTCCATATGTGGAGGGTGTACACTCAGGTGTGCCGTTGCTGCTGAAACGCCTGGAGCGATCTCAAAGTGAACCTCTCCATCCACATTCGATACTCCACGGCCTTGTCATTTGTGACCAGCTCCCTCTCAATGCCAGCATAAACCTCTCTCCAGTCGGTTCGCAGCAGCTGAGCCAGCTTCTCACGGCCAATCTCTGCGAACTCCAACGCAAACTCCTGAACGACTCTGAAGGGACGTAAATACACCGGCTCGTCGGCCCCCTCAAGCCGCAACAGTGCAATAGCCGGCCGCGTCTGGATCTCGACGATCACCTTGTCGACCTTCCTGATTCCGAGGTACCCCTCCTGGTCCTGTATATGGTATATTTGTCCGCCTCCAAAACAAAATCACTTCAGCTGTTTGGCCAACTCCTCTTCTCCAGCTGGCGTCGTCTCGGGATTGGTTATCGAAGCGGCCTGAAAGCTCAACACCCTTGCCATATCCAACCTATACCCTTCCGTGCTCATTGCAAAGATCTCTGGCTGGTGCTGAAAGTCTTGTCCTCCATCGATGAAGATCGCCGTTGGAATCAGTGAATTTGAGTCCAGCTCCTCGTTGTCGTCCAATTCTCCATCCATTGGGTCGACCGCTCCAGAAGCTGCGCGCTCACCATGCATGTCTGCAAAGTCACAGTCCAAAGGAGCCATATCCTCGTCCTGATGCGGTTCTTGAGCCTTCTGATCCTTGAACTTTGGGAAGGAATAGCTGGCCACCAGAAAGAATTTGTAGCCCCTTCCCGCCGCATCTCTTCCCTTAGCTCTCATCGGGCCACCCACATCAATGGAGAGGACGTACGCAGATTTGTCCTTAACTCGACAATGAGGTTGTCCGGTTCCCAACGCCAATCCTTTCGAAAAGACCTGGTCTCGGGCCTTATGAAGCTTCTACTCCTCTTCTGTAGTTTACTTCCGCAATCTTGGCAGCTGTGCTTGTAGTAGGTGACGAAGACTATCCGCTATCCGCTGTCTAAGTCCCCACGCCCATGATGCTAAATCCTCCCTTTTTGTCTCGGAGGCACTGACCTTATTTGAGGAGGAATCCTGTAGGCCTTTGTAGATCGTCCAGGCCCAGATTTTGTAAAATAGTTGCGGGTTTGACCGCCGGCTGACCCAAGGCGCTCCCTGGTTGAACGTGATCTTGGTGACTCCCAGGGACTCCACGATCCGAACGAACTTTCCAACCACTCGATTTTCGTTCACCGTTACGGACAGGAGGTATACAACGGACCATTAACCCTTTTCAAGGAGCACTAAATATTTTTACGTTCAAACACAGAGTGAAAGCTCTGCTGTGCGGAAGATTCAACGCATGCTTGGCTTGCTTAATTGCAATGCTCAAGGGCTTATTCGTAGCTGCACCTTAAGCCAAAACATTACACACAACATTTTCAAACAAGTAGCTACCCCTCACCCCAATGTCTGCTTAGGGGTGCTACACAGGGGGTCGATCCTCATGGTCAGCCTTGAAACAACCCTCCATTCTCCCAAGGGTATATCTCTTCTGGGGCATCAACAGAATCCCATGCTGGGGCGTTCTGGGGCAAGAGCATGCAGGCAATTCCGGATGCAGCGACTTTGGCAAGGGTGTGACGTCATTGCAGATACCATTGTAGCCTTCATAGGCGAGGTCTAAGTGGCGCTGGGCATGGGTTACCGGCGCTACTGTAGTCAAATCGTTGCCGGTTTGGCGTCGCTTGCGGATTATGCCTGCAACAATCACCCTCCCCACACGGGCTTCTAAATGGACAGTTCAGGGTCAGCACTGGTGCCTAGGAGGCAATCAGGTATTTGGTCAGCCATGTTGAAGCAAGCTGGCAGCCAGGCATGGCAGCATTGCATCTGCCTTTTGAGGCATTCTCCCTCACGGCCATGTATTAGATACAAAGATGTGGGAGATGAATCGCTCATTTGAGCGTGGCGTTGCTGTCATTCTCAGTGCATATGCACGGGACTTAAGGGTTGTCCACTGGAACACGACCTGTTGTTGGGAGCCTGTGGACCCCAGGGGCCCTGCCTCCACTCCTGGTCTTTTCGCTGCATCTAAAGAAGGAGGCACCTTCATGGACAAGGGTCAGCCGCCGCTAACCGTTAAGTTGCCGCAGAAGTCCAGTACTCACAGAACCTCTCGATCTCAGCTTTGTTTGAGCGGATGCAACCTACAATGGTCCCCGCCATGCACCGGAGGCAAACGGTCGATACATGGCCATACTAGTAGGCTCAATTGCACATTGCCTGCAGTCCATGCCAGTCAATGTGGGCCGGTTGCTCCAATAGCAGTACCCTTTGGGCTACCGGCACAAACGGGGGGGAGGCGTGTTGCGAGTATTGTGTCAAGGGCCTCAGAGGCAGTCAAACAGGGAAGCCTTGGCTGAAGCTTCAAATCCCCAATGTTCCCTTGCACAAGTCAATGCTAGACTGAACAATCACATTGTTTTCGATCCTTCCGCCCAAAGATGCAGCACGATGCAGCCCAAGGTCATCTATTGCCAGGCAGTGCACAACGGTCAGTTCGGACCTTGGTCGGGCTGTGCACGCGAGAGCTGTTTAGCGAGTCTAGCGGAATCAGCAGGATGCCCGATAAGATGGTCGGAAACTGGTTGCGGCTGGATGGTGACAAGTTTCGGGAGGCCTGGCTTGCAGAAGAGAATGGTGTGGAAAGCTTGCCCCATAAAGCGTCCAATGTCAGCCACTTGGTGGCAGAGCCTGCTTTTTTTTTGAAAGGGGGCAGGATAACAGTTAAAGCATGCGCATAGTTCAGTTGTAAGCTTTTTTTCCATGCGGAGTAGGTCTGCACCATCTCATTTGAGCCTGCAGGATGCAGCCATCCTGGTAAGCACCAAGCCTCCGAGTTTGTATGTCTTGTCGCCAAATGGCCAGCCAAAGTGAGATCCGACCTGTGTTTTGGATCGCGAGAAATGCTTCACGCAGCATTCTGGTATGTCCTGGCCAAGACAGGTGCGGTGGAGAGTATGTACTTGCTGGTGAACGATGTCACGGCCAGCCTACATGGAAGCAAAGGCGAACAGAGTTACGGACCGTTGGCCCGCGCAGCTTTGTGAGGCAACGCAGGGAAAGCACTGCACTCCTTCCACCCCGAAGGATATCCTCCGGGGCTGATGGTTGCTGGACGGTGGCAGCTGGACTGCCAAAGGACTTGAGCTAGGCTGTGCTAGATGCACGCATCGGCTGAAGGGGGTCACTTTGAAGGACGGACTGGGCTCTGATAAGCCGTTGCTGAGATGCAACGGGCTGTGATCACTGTTTTTGCAGATGCCCAGCTCCTCCCAGCTCCTCCCAGCCTCTTGTACTCAGGTGACCAACCTCACCTCGGGGAAACCCCTGATAAGGCACCTCTCATGCGGTTGACGCAGTTGATGGAAGAAACCCTGCACCACCCCAGAATTACGCTGGTTCAGGGAACCTAATTGGTACAAGCTTTCCTCCATCAACAGTAGGTCCATCTCCATGTGTTCATTTGAGCAGAACTTCTGCGAGAAACTCGGCCTGTTATCGCATTCGCTTTGCTCCCAGTTGATTCACTGTATTTCGCTGTACGGCAGCCGGGCTTAGCTGCGCAGCAATGGCGGCCGGCGCCGAAGAGACAGCAACTGGTCCAGAAAGGAATCCAATAGTCATGGTGCCCCCTTGCCGATTGATTGTGAAAGCAACCGCTGGCGCAAGAGTAATTGGAAAGCAGGGCTCCAACATCAAAGCAATCCGGGCTGCTGCAGGCATCAACTCGGTGCGTGTTCTGCAAGACGAGCTTCCGGAAGCATTGAAGCGCCGCGAAGAGTGTATCATAATCATTTCCTGCGGGGAAGAGGCCACACTGAAACAAGCTGTTGCCATGGTTCTTGACAGGGTCTTTGATCGGTCTGGCCTACCTGTTTCGGCTGAACGTGATCGAGAACGCCCTCATATACTTGACTTGATCGTGCCCGACAGGGCAGGTGGGGGAATCGTCGGGCAGGGTGGTGAACGCATCCGGGCCATCATTGAAGAGCTTGGCTGTGAGGTTCAAGTGTCTCGGGAACCTTTGGCAGGTATTGCCTCTCAAAAACGGGTGAAGCTGTTGGCAAGGGACCGCGTGCCTATAGAAGCAGCTCTCTGGCGCTTGCAGTCGACGCTTAAGGAGCTCGTGGTTTCAGAAGTGCTCCGAGCTGAGCACTTCGAACTAAGGGAAGCGCTCATGACTGAGGAGGAGGTGGCCATAAGTGCCGAGAAGGAGCGTTTCGCTAATGAGGGCAAGACCGAGGTGCCACTTCGGATCCTCCTCGCACAGGGCGAGGCTGCAACTGTGGTTGGCAAGCTTGGTGCAAACGTCGCCAGGTTAAGAGACCTGGCTTTGGTTTCTATAGATGACGCTGAATCTCCTCCTTTTCACGCGAGTGAGCGTATTTGCAGCGCTGCGAGAGCGACCTTGGCCCAAAGGCTGAGAGTCTTGAGGTTGGTGTTGGGCGACTTGGCAACACGCAGTGCGGCCATCGCCCGGGAGGAAGCCTCAAGACCTGAGACAGTCCCAGAAGGCATGCGTGAGGTTCGCGTGTCCTTGCTGTTTCCCTCAGATCGTTGGCAGGACTTGGAGCCGGCACTTCGTGAGGAAAGCAGCATGTTTTCAGATGTTAAGCTGGAGGTGCAGGCAGCGCAGGAGGGTATCGGCCAGGTTAGGCTCAGAGCCGTGACTTTAGAAGGCCCTGAAGAAGCAGTGGCCTTGTCTGGTTGGAGGCTTCACAAGTCCTTGGAACCATGGGAAGTGTTTGAGCCTCCACCTCGAGTCGCTCCCGTGGATGAGGATGTGGATGGGGAGCGCACAGAGCGAAGCAAGGGAAAGTCGAAGGGCAAAGGCAGAGAAGGCAAAGGGATGCAACAAGCAGGTGCTCCAATTGAAGCGGCACAGGCAAGAGGATTTGGCACTCAAGCTTCTCAGACCAGCACCGCAGCGACAGTGCAAGCGTTGCAGTATGTGCCTGCGGGAGAAGCCAGCTCTGCACAGCAAGTGGCTGCAGGTTTGCAGATGGACGGCGGGGTGTGTGTTAGCGACCGTGCAGGAGCGCCATTGCTTGTGGCAGTATCTGACTATGAACAGGCAAGCTACCTGGCCAGCGACGCGAGCGGAATAGCCAGCAAAGCTGGAGTCAAGATACATGCTCAGCCTCAAGATGGCAACAACTTGGCAGTTCTGGAGATACATGGATCCTTTGACTCTGTTGCCAGAGCATGCTATTTTTTGCAACTGCATGTCTGGCTACGCTCCACGCTGCGCACCGCCTGCTGAGAAGCAGGCTTGTATATGCTCGCTGCAGCGCTGCAGATGATGCAGAGAATTTCACCCTGGAACACGCTAACTATGAATGTTCCAATTCCTGTCTGCCCCAGCATGTTAAAATAGAATACGGTCTCCGCGCTGAACATATGGCCGTGATTGATAGCGACGTCCAGATGGTTAGTTGTCGGTGGCAGAGGCTTATGAACCTGAGGTGGTTGCCTCCTGGAGCCGTTTGGATGGTGAGGACTTGGTGAAGGCCTCCAGAAAAAAGCGCTCTGACTCCTACTGAGCCATATTTTTAGCTTGCGAAAGCCATATCAGGACGACCAGATCAGAGCTTAGGACTCAGACGAAAGCCAGAGTAGGGGTTGCAGCTTGCAAGTTCAGCGAAACAGCTCATGCCAACAGGTATCCTCAACCTCCTCGCTTGGAAAGCCCGTGAAGTTGCACGTGTCCACGCCCAATGGGCAGCAGAACTGTGGCGGAGCGGGCCTTGATGCCTCATGTTTGTGCACATCCCGTGCGCATTTTGACCTGGCCAGGGGCCTACTTGCTTGTGGCTGGTGAATCCGCCAATGGCAGCCCACTGTGGAAGCAGATGGGTGGGAAATATTGGCTCTACTCAGGCGGACTTGCTTGTGAACATTCATTTTGCGTCCATGTCCCTTTGAGCAAAGCTAGGGCCAGCGGAAGCAGCAGCAGCAACATTTGCATACAGCCATAATCAACAATGCCTCAGGGATGCTACAAGGGATCTTTCTGCTGGGTTCAATTTCAGCTGTGGCAGGAACGAATGGCTTGTGGATCATCGGAGGTAGTGGAGCAAAGCGAAAGAACTTCGATTGTTCACGTGGAGTCATTTACTCGCCACAAGCACAGGTTTCGTGTGGCTTCGTGGATGTTTAGATGAGTTGATCTGATTTCGCAAGTTCTAGCTGCCAAGGCAAACACCTCATGGAGGCCAACTGCCGCACCAGGTCCGATGCCTTGCTGGGCTTAGCTTTCCACATAAAAAGCTGCCTGTGAGGGTAACCAATGGTAGCCAGGTCACTGGGGCCTGGCTGCGCTTGCAAGGTCAGGAGCTGGGGCCCAAGACTTTGTTAAAAGACCTGGCCTAGATGCGGGAGTCTGCAGCACATCAGTTTGACAGCTTCTCAGTGTGAGAATGGAGGTTTGTGGAGGATGGCAAGATAAGCATTGTCCAGTGAACCGGGCACTTTCGGGGGCTTCTATCTGCCATTCTATGTGCACCAGAAGGAGAGCCATTTGCAGCAGCTGGCCTGTGCACGCAAATGATGCTCAGTAATATCATGATGTGGAACAGCTCCATGTTGGAAAAGTGAGTTGAAAAGCATGAGCAGGGTACCATGCCAAAAAGCAGCATACATCAGCAAGTCTCGGTGGGCCTCACAGCTTCTGCAGAGAGAGAGAGAGAGACAAAGTCGCGCTGCTCATGTTGTGTTACATTCTGCCAACCAACTTGAAGCTTCCCAGAAGAAGAGCCAAGTCGGACAATGTGCGATGTTGGCTTGTTTGGCTGACCAGCTTTTCGCATATTGTGAGCTGGGTTGGGAGTGTGTCACGCCGACCCGTGCATGTGAGCGGTTCGCCAGAAGAGCTGTGCACAGGCGGGGCTGGCGTAAAATTGCACCACGTTCAGGCAGCTTTGCTTGGATTGCCTTTACGGCAAGGCTGCGAGGCGTCATGCCTCCTATGCAAATCCGCGCTGACCTCATGAAGCGGTCGGTTGCAAGCGCAAGTCGGCTGTAATGCATTGTTTTGGTCGAGCAGCAGGCGAAGCAGTGGAGGAGGCCATTTGCAGGGATATCATGGTCTGCAATTTCAGTCTTCTTGTACACGATGCGCAAAGGATTTCCCCAGCATCCTTGAGCTGGCCAGACAGGTTGCTGAGGACTTTTTGACAACATGTAGAATTGGGACTTGCGGACTCCAGCGGAGTCAAATGATTCAGCATATTTTTCTTTGCTTGGTGAAGGCTTTTGGACCTATGTCATGGCATGCATGCTGCTGAAAGGGACCTCCAAGGGCAGCGCTGCGTTTCGCTGGCAATGAAATGCAAAGCAAATTATGCTTTCTTTTGAGTGTGTCATAGCTGATGACTGTTACGGCTTCGGTCCAGGAGCCTGATGCATTTCTTTTCGATGAGGACTACACGATTGAGGCTTGCATGCTGAAACTGCATTACGTGTCTGCTTCCTGACATTCCTGACCACCTTCCACATCTCCTGACGGCCTCAGGAGCTTGAGGCACTATGGCTGCCTGAGCCCACCCAGAAAGCTGAGACCTTCGTGCTGGAGGCACCTTCCGAACTGCGTGCTTAAATCCACATTTCGTGCACTACAGGCGAGCGACTTTGAAGGCATTGTCGGAGTCTATGCTCCGAGCTTATGCGTCGATGCATAAAAGCTGAGGTGCTGGACTTCGTTGTTTTATGTCCGGACATTGTCAGGTCCTCCATCCTGCAGCACATGGACGTGGAGCTCACATTGCGCATGGCCTCTACATGGTGGCCTCCTCAAGATTGAAAAGAAGTCAGCTGAACATGTTTGACTTGTCTCGTCAGTTGCCCTGCCGCCCTGCCCTCGAGGTTGCGAAGAATGCGCGTGGTAGAGGTTTTGGGAAGTCATTGTGCCCTATGCCAAGAACTCTTGCAAGAAACCCTTGGAAATCTAATCATTGCACAGACAGACACCTGTGTGCAGCTTGACGTTTCTTGGCTTACAGCGACGTAGTGTGATGAACATGCACCAGCAGACGAACAATTAGGTTTCTGCAGACAGGGCAGGTCATCATCAGAGCCTCTAGCGCGTTTTCCGATTGTGCACCTCATGGTTATGATTCGTAAAGAAGGCAGCGAAGAATTGAACCTGCGAACCTGCTACCAAACTTTGTACTTGACTGCAGGTCTGGTGTGGTGTTGGTTGAGACATTTGGCTCGCTGCTTAAATTCAGCTGAAGCCAACATTTCGAGAAATAACACCTGCGCTTGAATTCTTGCAGGCTTTCTCTACAGCTTGTATGTCAGATGGTTGGACTGTCGATGCCAATTCGTGGGCATGGAAGAGATTGTCCGTGTGATCATGTTGGCCTTTCGGGCCAGTTCATGGCACAACTGCCAAGTGAGCTGTCATGGTGGCAAATCTGAGGCCCAAAGGTGCTGAATGATGCATGTTTTTCGGCTGGACACCAACGTTCCAAATCTGTGGACTCAACTCTCCAGAATCAAACGCTGCCACTCTTTTCCGGCCCCCCAGCTTTGCCCGACCCGGGCATTCTCCAGCATCCCGTGTGCGCCTGCCCTCCAGTCCACTCCCTCCCTCCTGCTAAGCACCATGGCTCGAGCTGTTACTGTTACAGGGTAGGGTGCCGCCTGCAACGGTTGCCTGATTGCATGTATCGCACTTCCTTTGGAGACATTTGCTTTCCTCGATTTCCTTGCTGGGCTTGGATTCCACGGCGCATGTAGTAGATGGCAGGCCACATGACATGTCCGCCCAGCTCAGGAATCGCATGACCAATTGCAATCAGCACATAGGTATCAGCCCTGTTGTGTCTGTACACTGGGCCATGAAGTCAGTCACAAGTCAGATGCCATGTCGTCATGAAACCGCAGGGCTTTCCGCCGTACCATTCGGCCCTCCCGGTAGGCCAGGTGTTGGTCCTCAGGGGCTTCCACGGGATGGGGTGACGAGAACTGGCCAGGGGGGTGGTCACCCTCAGGCTGGTGACAAGGTGCTGCCTCGTGGAGCCCGGGCAGAAGCAGTGCATTGCAAGATATTGCGAGGTTCAGGCACCTGTGCTGTCACAAAAAATGGTTTAAAGATCCCAGATCTCCGTCACGTTGCAGCTGCCGATGTGACTTCCGAAGCCTACCGTACACATCCGTCCACATTTTTTTTCGAAGCTGGGTGTGAGGGTTCCGGTGTTACAAGCCCGGGAGGCTGTTAGTAAGCGGGCCAGCAGCGTGTTGTAGCAATCAACGTCCAATGCCGTCAGACGCATGCCATCACAAATTCGCAGCATGTCTTGGGTTCCGAAAGCATGTAGATCCTTTCTCTTCCTGAGACATATGTCGATCCTGAGACTGGTTTCGATTGCGGCGATGCAAGTTGCCAGATCGCGTAATCTTATAAGTTTAGCGAAGTACAGGGGGGAGGGTTGCCCTCTCACCTGCGCTGCTCAAGGTCCCAAGCGTGTGTTTGAGCAGAATTCTCTGTGGATCTTATGAATTTGATGCGACCTTCAGTTGAAGTACAGGAAGCGTCCTGTCGCTCGAAGGCCGCTTTACTTTGCATGGACTCGGGTGCCTTCTTTCATTTTCAAGGTTTGCAAGGCATTCTGAGCGGAGACACTGGCGAGGCAAATGGAAGTCTGGCATAGCTAGCTGCAATTTCAATCTCGCAGCCCAGCCTAGCAACAAGCAGCATCATTCACATAGCGCTAGTTGAATTTAGACTTTGTGGCTGCCAAGGTCTTGCTTGGCTTGCTAGTGCATGTCGGAGCCCATGGCGACGTTGTGAAGAAGGTCAGCTTCTTGTTTGTCACGAAAGCTCCTTGGAGGGAGCTTGTTTTTATACCTTACGGAGTGAGCCTGGGGTCTTGGGGTGTTGGGGGGGGGGGACGCCAATTTTGTCTTGCTTTTTTCGACCACAGGCTGGATTTTGGTGCGTTGCTATGGAGTTTTTTTTGGGCTAGATTCTTGTCTTGGGGATTTGGGGGGATCTTTTCAAGCACTATTGCATTCGGTCTCACGAACCTCCTGCGTCAATTCTACCAATCATCGCTGGTTTCGGCTTGCAAATGGAAAGGGGAAAAGTGCTGTGACTGGGACATCATCAATCGCCGGGCGTTATACCATCCCAGCATGGAAACACAGCGGCAAGGGGCTTAGACAAGCGGCTGTGATCTAAGGAAGCAATATCACCAGACAGTCTGAGAGCCCATATCAACACCTCATCTGGGTGACGAAGCTGTCGTGAACAAGTGAGTCCGGACTGATTTCCAAACCCGAATGACTTCATGTGTCGAATACCCAGATCATGCTGAGAGGTGATGCCATGCCTGGCCATAACTTGAAGGAAGGCATCCTTGAATCTGCGAACAAAGACCCCAACAGACATCTCATGATCACAAAGCCCAGGTAAACAACCAAACATCCCCACAAACTCTACCACAAGCGCCACCCACGTGGTCCTATCGGCGGTATGCTTTGTCCCCACTTCCATCTACTCGCAAATAAAGGAGCAAAAAGCGCGAAGTGCATCAGCTGAAATTGGGGGTGATCTTGGGTGGATCTTGGGGGGATCTGGGGTTGGGGGGATCTTGGAGTTTTTTAGAGGAGGGTTTCGGTAGGAGGTTTGCAGTTCTTTTAATGGGCAGTGAGGGTTGGGCTGCGTGCTCTTCTGGTTGTGTATGGTCTGTCTCTTCACATCCTGTCTGGCTACTCCTGTCCATTGTTGCCTACGGGTTGGCCCTGATGTGGCACATGCCTGTGGCAGAGGAATCTCCCTTCGAATGCCAGCTCCGTGCTGTGCCCTACAGGTTGTCAGCACACCTTGGTGGCCACCGGGAACCGAAAAGACAGCTGCAGCTCTGCCTCTGCCTGGTATGATTTGTGTGTGTGTGTGTGGGGGGGGGCACGATTTCTTTGGTCGAATCCTGCGATTGTCGCCTCAGCTCAGGAAAGTGTTGGCATAATCTCGCATGGCTTTGCATTCATGACTGCCATGATGGAGGTGAATGACACGTGGCCCTGAAGCATATCAGATTTGCCTCTGAAAGGTGGGGTTTTCCTTGTGACCTGTCATGACCTGTCTGAATTCGGGCTGGAAGGCCGGTCTAGGCAGCAATGCATCATTGCAGAGATGGATGGACAGATTTTGCGGCCAATTCTCTTTTCAATTTCTTTTCTGAGTCCTAAGCCTTAAAGAGAGAAAACGGATTCTAGATGTAGGCATTGCCTGCACGGAACGAGGCTGCACAAAAGTGCTGTGCAAGAGATGCTGGATGTGCGTGACATTGCTGTAGCCGCTGGTACCAACTTATCCAATTTGGTGACTTGCCTCAATCCACTGGACATGTGTTGCTCAAGTTGCGGTGAGGCAGCATGAAGTTTTTGCAGCTAAACCAAGGTGGACTGCTTTGTGAATGCGCCGGCGGGAAGAGGAGTGCTGGTTCGGCAAGCTCTCCTATCAGCAATGCCGGCTGATCTTCAGCAAAATCCGCCTGCATTCACTGCCGGATTCTTAAGCCTCGAGCTTCTTGACAGTTGAAATCATTTGCTCAAGTACTCAGCCAGAGAGCGGGGGTTGCTGTTTCCTGATGAGGTGGTTGAGATGCCAGGAGAGTACCAGGAGGGCAACAAGTTGTTTAGTTCTCGGGACTGAGTGTCCTGCTGCGAAAGATGTGCCAGTTTGTTCCGCACTCCATCATGTGCGTGGCGACTCTCCCGGGTGCGACGGAGCTCAGGCAGACGTGGAAGCCTCCCATCGAGATTTGTCTTGGATCTGTGTTCAAGTTCAAAACCTGAAGCTTGAGGCATGATGGTCTCTACGCGGTATCTGCAAGAGGCTTTCAGAAGAAATTCTACGTTTGCAAAGTTCAGCGCTGTGATGCTTTGCGCAGTGCCTTCAGGCATGCTCTTCGTTGAGGGTGCCATGGCGTCACCAGAGTGTGCAAAGGAGCCCTTCCTTGAAACGCCACGAGCCCCGCATTTATTGCTCGTTGTTAGTGTGAAGGGCAAGGTTTGTACCTCTTTGCAGGCCGCAAAACTCCAAAGCTCTGAGGCAGGACGTGCTAGCCCGCATACATCAACTGGGCCAGATGACTGGGGACTCCTTCGACTTGGTCGACTGTACTGCCTACTTGGCTGAGATCAAGGAAGCTGCCGCTGTCCGGAGAGTCTATGGATAGCATTAGTTGGAAGGCAAGTTAGGCGTGCTAGGTGCAATGCTGACGCATGGGGAAGGCTTTTGCAGACATGCACGCAGCCCGGCGAGTTCAGCCTGCCATCACTCTCGTGCAGGCTGGCTTTACTTTGCCGGCTGCACTCTTGTCTTCCAGAGTCAGGCTAGTTGCCCACAGAACCTGAGAGGCAGACGGCTTGCCTGCCGGTAACACGGTCCTACTCCGCTGTACAGGAACGCTATCTAAGGCTTCTTGGTACACAAGGCTGGGAGCATGTAGGGGCTATGATTGGAGATAATTGGAGGCAGCCGTTCGTTGCATGATGCGCACGGGAACTGGCTTCGGGATCTTAAGTCTTGAGTTTAAGCGTGTTGAGACTTGCAATCTCTCCCCTAAGAAAACACGTAGATATCATTCATGTTTGGCAACTCACAATAGCGCCAGGCGCGGCCGCGTTGGAAATGAACGGAAATGACGGAAATTGCAATGTCAACGAGTGAAAGCAATTAGCGCGATTAGGGCATCCACCAACTGCCGCTCTCAAGCGGGAAGGGTCAACGACGCGAAGCTTTTTAGACATGTTTGGCCTAGGAGTCCGAGGTCTGCGGGCGTCTCAAATTCAACGACGTCAAGAGAGTGGAGATGGGCAAGTGGGTGGGACGGGAATGAATAACTCTGCATACTTGTGGACTCGCGGTGGGGCATCAAGCCAGCTGTCCGCTTTCCGCGGGACGGCAGAGGTTTGCATTGCCTTCCAAATTCCACAGAGACTACAACTAGACTGCCGGTCCGTTCCGTTAGCCGCTGGCTGTGATCTCTTAAGTACCTTTTGCATCTATGATATGCAACAGAGTGCCTGCCAAAAAACCGCACCGTCCCAATCGACAACTGTAAGTCGGCAGACTTAGCTGCCAGGACAAAGCCGCAAGCCATTCAAGGTGCCACCATCACCGACAGATTCTTGGCTTGCAGGCAGAGCCGCATTGGTTCGGCACTCGGCACGTTGTCGTTGTCCTTTATGACTGCTGGTGCTGGTGCATCCTTTGAGCAGGTTGCTCACACACACAGTGTTTCAGCTGCCAGTATCAAGTTGCGAAGGCGTTGACAGCTCTCCCAAAAAGCGCGGCTGAAGGGCTCTACTAACTGCGTCTAGCCTGAGTCTGTCCTGTCATTATCCCGAGGTGCTTCTGAGCTTCCAGCGAAGTGAGCGCCATACATACCTGTGGCGTGATTCGACCATGCTTGCTTCTTGTTTGGACTTGTTAGGTGCTTCTTTCCACTCGGTAGCTGCGAGCCAATGCCACTACCAGCCACTCCATGCCATTCCATGCCATTCCCATCCCGGTTGATGGCAATTCCTTGTGTGGACGATCGGGCATGCGCTGAATTTGATGCACGTCTGCTCGTGGACCGTGGACTGCTGAGAGGAGCAGATAGGCAAAGGTGTTGGGAGGCTGAGGGAAGGCCGTGTGCTGGTGAAAGGTGCGTGCTTACGCGTGCTTCTTAGCTTTTCGGCAAGTCTTTGGCTGACTACCGCCTCCATGAAATGCATTTTGGTCACGGCATAGCTGATGAACTTGAACGTGTGAGCTGCAGCTGCAATTATGCTATTGTTGAAGGGGTATGAGGTTATGACTGCCCTTCTTGCACAGCTGTGTTTACAGGCTCAGGTCCGGCGGGGCAAGTGCCAGTTGCCATCGCATTCTAGCACATATGGCATGGCAAAACACGTCCGCTTTGAAATTTGGACCCAACAAAGCTGCATGGAGCAGCACTGGGAAAAATCAACAGCAAAGCGCAACACATGGCAGGCATCCTAAGTCTGAGCAGGCAAAGCTTTTGCTCGATCTCCGTGACCCCCAGTCAGATTCGATCTTCGTGCGAAGTAGAATCGGATTTTGCAGTTACCCCGGCAGTTACCTTGTGGTTTCCATAGCCCAACTCTTGCCGCCCGCCTTTAAATTGACAGTAGGATCCGACGTGGCCTGAACATCTGGCCTGAGTGGGCGTTGATAAGAGTCTTTTGATGGTGCCGCGTCACCCGTTGATTTGCAACGAAGGTGCACGTGTACGTGTAGTTTTTGTCAAGGGACGAGAAACCGAGCCTTAGCTAGTTCGCTTCGCCGAGGATTTGTGTTTACTTCTGCCCAGCTTGGCCGCAATTCTTCAGGTGGGTCCAGATCAGGAGATTGCCAGCACACTTGCTGCAACATGTGTTTGTCTTACTGTCAGGCGCTGACGCCTTTGGGGCCTTGCAGCAAGTTCTTGAGTCCGCAGAAGTCAGTCTCAAGGAGTGCTTGCGGCCACGGAAGAGATTTGAGTTTTGTTTGGCCGTGGTGCGAGGAAGTTGTCACCTGCTCGTTCTATGTTAGAGATCAAGCAAAGATGTTCGACCTTTTCGCGGGCTTTTACCAAACTTTCAACAAGGACATCCATTGGCTGCTCCGCGACAAGGTTCAAATGGGGCTGTTAATTTGTCATATCTGTACTTCACACAGGACAACCCACCACCACCAACGCGTGGCGAATATCAAGCCGAGACAGATGCTTGCCATTCCTAGAACAGCTTGCAGGCAATACTGGCATGTACTAGCCTGAAAGCTGCGCCCGATCTTGCGAATAAATCCGCAAAGGAGTGTGCCGACTGTGCCGTGGCGGTGAAGTGCGTGGCTGCTCGTTTAGCACCGGTCCCGCCCTTGGAGCTCTTCTTGTCGCTTCGCAAACTGGGAGCTAATGTTATTTGCTCCTGCTGACTCATCCATCCACGCATCTTGCAGGCTGTGGCGCCACACAGTATCGCATCCGATGGCAGTTTGAATCTTGTCATTTAACCTGACCCTTCCCTTCTGCTTCGGACATTCGCAGCAGCTAAGAGCTGCGCCCAGTGCAGAAGGCATTGGTATGTTACGCTGCGGAAGGTAGGAAAAGGCAAGAGAGTTGCATGGAGCCTAGCACAGGCCTACAGCACCTTCGTTGTGAAGAGTTCCTTCACCAGCCGAGGCTTGCACTCTCTAGCAAGGGCACAGCACCGAGGCAAAGATCGGGATCTTTTCGAAGCAGGGGGAGAATCTGTGGGTTGCAGCGAGATGCTCAGGACCTAGCAACACACAAAAAACTCCACGGTCACAGTGTGGCCGTGGCACAGAGCACACACTTGCAGCGGCCGAGCTGTACAAGCGAAGGGCAGCGCATGTGCAAGAACAGGCAAGAGAAAGCGCAAGCAAGGCAGCATGCCGCTCCAGCCGCTCCAGGTCTTGCAGTGTTCGTTTGGAGTTTAAGCCTTGGAGCCAATCTGAAGGCTCAGTGGAAGCAGAGAGCGCAGAGAGCGCATCCAGCAGCAACACGGTCCTTTTCTGACCTGAAGTGGAACATGTGTTCAGGTTTGCAAGTTGTAGGCTGATGTAGGCTGGATTGAAGATAGAGGCTCAATAGAGTCAGTAAATTTCCAGCTGCTCAGCAGGATACAAAGGTATGCGAATCAACATGGTGGTTTCCTCGGCTTTGTTTTTGCTCTGCTGTCTTGCACAAGCAGTTGTTGCTGGTGACTGGTCGTTGTGATGCACCTGAGTCAGTGCGAGGCTCACTTACAGATGTGCTCACCTAGGTGGTGGCGACCAACAGCTCAGCACGCAGTGTATGCGATGCTTGTGGTTTCCAAGTGCTTTGCACTCTCCCAAGGCTCCTGGAAGTGTAGCGCTGTCTGAGTCCTGTCCTTTGTGTGTACCAACTTCGCCACGTACATGCCACTACCAGTTACCACTGCCGGGATCCTGCGGAGCAAAGCGGTATGGAGGTCAAATCTGGTTCTTGTTTAACAAGTGTATTTGGTTGAGCGACTGGACTGAAATCTGGGAAGGTAGGTGCACTGTACGCAGCATGTGTGTGACAACGCGCGCGCATTCAATTGACCGTCAGGGCGTTCCAGCATCCACAGCTCGGACTGGTGGACGCCATGCTGATGTTCCATGACCTGGAGCAGACTGCCTCACACAAGGCAGGCCCATCAAAAAAAAGAGGAGGCATTTGATGAGATTTGTGCAGCTTGCGGCGGCAGTTCTGCTCTTGCATAGCAGGCTGCAGTTTGATTGACTCGCAGGAAGCCCCAGCGGTCGATGCTGCGCCAAGACTGTACCTCTCTGAGACACCGCAATCTTCTTCGTCACCTGTACGTCGAGCTCCTCAGATTTGAAAGGCAGAGCCGCAAGTCACTGCAGAGGGAGGAGGTGGAAGTTGGCAGCGAGGCGGGCGTGTCAACGTTTTTTTCTTCACTCGTACGCCCCAATGACCCCAATGCTAGCAACGTAGCAGCAGCATTCAGGTTCATATCCGGCCGCGTCTCCAGCTGCCTCTGGGTTCAGGATTTGAACATGGTTTATCCCAGTGACAAGTGTGGGCGGTGTGTCGAGTAAGATGCAGTCGGCGAAATTCAAACGCCGCAGGTAGCACAAAGCTTGAAGTACAGCCGGCTCTTCCGCTAGGCCGTGTGCCAATGTCTGACAAGCACAGAGGACACTGACGTCATTGACGATGGGTTTGCGCTCAGATGTTGGCAGCAAGGTCTGACATTAGATCCTGCCTCGGGTGTCATCGCCGGTACGCCAGACCTCGCCTGAGCAGCCAGCTGTGCAAGTTTTCATTATCTACACAAGTCTATAGGCTGCTGGGTACTTCGGATGCAAGCGACTCTTGCCGCTGAGGTGTCCGTTGCTGAGGACACGAGATATTTCATCAAGGACGGGCTCTTAAAAGATATGGGTGCCCATGCCGTGCACTGGTTGGGACATTTCATTCAGCTCAGCCCCCTTCAGAGCTGTGAGAGGTGTGGAACAGCATAGAGAGAGAGGGAGAGAGAGAGGCAAAGTGGCAGAAGAAGAAGAAGAGAAAGTAGCAAGACACTCAGTGGTTGGGAGCTAGCCGGCAATCACTCGCTAACTTTCCTCGCCCCTTTCTCCAACAGTATGTAGCCCTTTGTGAGGGAAGACGGCAATCCTTGAAGGACGTTGTTGGAAGGGTTTTAGGGGCTGGGGGAGAAGAAGAGGGGAAGATACACAACGTCCATCGTGCCACCAACTTCGCCGTGTAGAGTGTAGAGGGGAAGTGCGGCGTCGGGGAAACCCGGCCCACCCCCTCGGGGACGGGCATCGCCAGTAGAAGAAGAGAAGGAGCGTGGCATGGGAAACGCTTTTCATTTCCGCAGCCTCGGGCTCGAGCTGATGGCTGCCGCCGCGCCCGGGAAAAGCCCCGCGTGTACCCTAAACCCTAAATTAGTTCAGACGTCAGGTCGTAAGTGGCTTCCTGATGTCCGGGAGGCAGCAAAGCAGAGCCTCCATCCTCCCCTTCACGTAAGCCTTACTAGCCTACAGGGGTGGTGGCTTTTGTTTGCTTGCCTCCTGCCAAAGCCACTTCGGGCGTTAAAAGCCCTGAGTCCAGCTTCGTGCGTGTGACTCAGGGTCAGACTTCGGTCTGGCGCCCTTTTTTTTTTGCAGACGCAAGGGTAAAGGAGATGCATAGCAACCACAGATCCCAAACCCAAAACGGAGTAGCAGCTCCGGGAGCCTGAGGATGGCAAGGCGACCGCAGTATCGGCCCAAGGGGTCGGGCAGAGAGAAGTGGCAGCGCAAACGGTGGCCAGACGACGTATATGGGTCTGAGGCAGGGACACCAAAGAACTCTTCGAGGAAGAGGAAAGAGTCAGGAACCTCCTGCGGGGCCTTGCCGAGTCTGCAGGCAGACACCAGGAGTTGCGGATAATCGACATGCAGGAGGACGACCAGCAGCCGACGCACAAAGGAGCTCCAGGCCATGGTGAACGAGGACATCCGAATGAGAAACTGGGATGGAACCCAGGTGCGGCGACAGGGAGAAGCGCAGTGGCACAAGCCCAACCAGGAGGAGATCGAGATGATCCAAGAGTACGAGAGAAACGAAGAGGAAGAAGAGGCACTCCTTCTCACAGCGGCGGAAGAAGAAGAAATCCTCAAAGCACAAGAAGAGTGGGAAGCACACCAGCGAGGAGAAGGGCGACTTCATGACGAGGACGAGACACGCCAGGACGACAGCTACCAGGAAGCCAAGCCACGCCAACGGCCAAGCTGAGCTCCTGCAACGAGCACCCAGTATGAAATTGCTTCTCCAGGTGGGGTGATCGCAGAAGCCAAGTTGCAGTGTTTGATGTTACTCTGAGGGTAGGCTTGGTTGTTGATTTGTCGCGGTTGACTGTTGTTAGTGCCTATGTGCCTGGGGGAGGAAATCATGGGAATCCTGGTTCTTTTGCGCGCTTTTGCACCATGAGCGGGGCCTTAGAGCAACTCTGAAGCCGAAGGCGCTGCTTGCAGGGACGAGCAAGGGAAGTTCTGTGGTCATGTGTTTAGGGATAGGTATCCTGCTCGAAAGATTGATTGCGAAGCCCATGTCATGTTTGGTAGGCTTACGACTGCGCAGGCAACACCATAACAAGGCTGAATGCCAAAAGCCCAGCGGCCAGCAAGACCACTCCCGAAAAAAGAAAACAAAAGTGAAGAGCCCGCGGAAGGGGCGCCCAAAGCAGTTAAGCTGTTGCGTTGCAGTTACCCCGGGTGGCCTGAGCAGTCTGAGTATCCATGTTCCCGGTAGAAAGCTGAGGTGCAGTGAACAGAAGTGCTAAGGATCGAGACTAGTGACCTCCTACTTTGTGTATCCTATTTTGGGTGTAGGCTGTGTTTCGGTTCTCATCGCCTTGTGCCTCTGCCGGACATGTTTGCCAAGTCATGGTCGCGGTGTGGAAGCCTGCAGCTGGGGTACAGGCACTAGCAGCCAGGAGTGCTGATAGGGCGGCCCAGCAGTCCCTTCAGTGGCGAAGTGTTGACCCAGGGGGTTGGATGTCGTGTGCACTCAGGTGTCATCTCAGTTCAGTCAGCAGGTCCTGTCACTATGAGGGAAATACGTTTCACGGCCTTGCTGAGCTGGATGCGCTGCCGGACTCTTGGGGTTGGGGATCTGAGGCATTCATGATAACTTGGTAAGTCCGGGAGTGCGTCGGTCCTCGGGAGGTGCGACCAACGGACGCGGTGACTCAGTGCGGGTGTAAGGGTGGGCCCTAGGGAGGCTGTAGGGCCTCTCATCACCCTTAAAGAAAGAAAGAGAGAAGGACAGAAAGGCACAAGCCATTACAGTTTCGACCGTTGAAAACAACTGTGACATACCGAGCCAACTGAAAAGTGAGAAGATGTGAGAAGGGAAGGAAGTGGGAATTCAGCATGCTTCCGTGGAACCTGGGAGCAACAGTCTTTCAGGGAAACGGTTACCGTGACCATTACCGTGACCAATGCAATTCGCTTATCCCGCAACATTGTGGGGAAGAGTTATAACGGAATTGATTAGGGGATTGTTGCCTTGTTATGGGAGCGGGTAATTATCAGTCGAAGTCGACGTGGAATGCACAACTCACCTTGCAGGGAGAGCACGTCGTGTGAGGTGTTCAACATACCGTGGGCCTCGCAATGATTTGGAGTCCATGTACCTCAAGGTAATGAAGAACGTTGAAAGTAAGAGAAGTCCTCTCAACTGAAACTGTACAAGCGCTTTTATGTCAGGGGCGCACCGTCGCACAGTTGAGCTGGTGATGGCAAGACATGCTGGGTTTGCTGCCGGTTCCCATGTCAAATTAAGAGTTTGCCGGTCCGCTAGTCAGACATGATGATAGCTTGAGTGATGGGGTCATGAGTAGCTGCACTGTCCGCCAGCAGCGCGGGGGTGTGAACATAAGTCTCACAGCTCCCTAGTAGGATTGGCAATGGCAAGGGTAGTGGGCTAGACCTGATCATCGGTTCGTTTCAAACGGTATCATGTACCTGGGCCGTTGTTCCACGATCCGGGAGTGCCGACCTGACCTGAGACCGTTGCGGGTGGGGGGCTGGGCCCCCGGGAGGCCGTAGGGCTCCTATGGCAAGCCTGAGAGTATAGCTCGCCATGCTGCCCGTAGAGCAAGGTCGGAGGCGGGCAAAACATCCCAGTGCTGGCATCAGATTGTTGTGGTCTTTAACCCCTATATTTGGAGACATCATAGTGGGAAGGACATGGCACACCTGGAAGCTGTTGAGTTTCACGGCAGGAGTTAGTAGGGGAGAGGCTGCTACAGGGCACCCAAATCGTCTGTGGATAATGGGTTTCTCTGACGAGTTCTCTTTTGAGTGAACTGTATTGGTAATATCCTGGTCCTTGCCTGTGCCCGACTGAACGCTTGGGCCCATGCGCAGCTTCGCAGCGTAGCTCCGGCCTGCTCCCATTGGGGGTGGGTATAGCCAGTCGAGGAAGAAGAGAAGAACAGTCTCGAGATAGCCTGTTACAAGCCAGGTACTGATGACAGAGTTAAAAGGAATTACGACAAGGGAACTCAGCATGCGCCCAGGGGAGCCTGGAGCAAAGCCTGCGGGGGCCAGGGAACAGAAGCGTACCGAACAATGCCATTCGCTGAGCCCTGAGCGAGTAATTAGGTGCCGTGTGTTGATATGGTGGGGCTAATGTGGCAAGGGGAGCGGGAAATTAGGAGCCAAAGATGGCGCAATGCAAGGAGGAATGTGAACAATTAGGTAAAGCGGTGGTAGGAGTTGCGATGTAGAGGGAAGTTTCGGATCAAGATGTAAAGACTGTGCGCAAATCATTTGCTGTGGTGAAGCTCTTCAGTGTCGGATGTGGTTTGTTTTTACAAGGGAAAGGCATCATTCGCTTTCTCGGCCGGAGAGCACTTTTTCGTTAAGATGCAGTGGGAGCCAAGTCATTAGGAGGACAAAGCTGGGTTCAATTCGGAAAGAACCAACTGAATATAGAACGTTGGTCAGTTTGGATGACGGGGCCTTTAAAAACCGTTTGCTTACTTACAAGGCACACCTGTTGGTGTTGCGCTCGCTTTTTCATTTTGGTTGCAGAAATCATTCCACATCAATTGTGCGAAATGGACCGGAACCCAAAGTCTTGGGTGCATTCATGCCCAGGAAAAAATCCTCTCATCGCTCTAAGCAAAGCAAAGAGGGACTTTGGGCTCAAGTCTCTCCTGCTCCTGGGGCATTCGCTCGCACGGCCCCCCGCGATCTGGGGAAGTGGTTCTGTTGGGGTGGACGTTGCGCTGCGAGGGAGGCTTGAGGCCCTTCGCTGTCTCTCTCGAAATGAAGCAGATGGAGAGTCACCTAACAAGAAAGCCAGAGGAACCGACCAGGGCGGCGTATCCTTTGAGGACCTCAAAGCAGCTGTGAAACTGTAAACTTAAGAGAAGCGATGCCTTGCAACCATTGGAAGCAAGGAAATAATTATTTCCTGAGTTTGAGTGTGAGAATGAGTGTGAGCGAAAGTGTGAGCGAAAGTGTGAGCGAGAAAAACTATGCAAACAGGAAGTGTGAGAAAAGTGTGAGGGTGAGTGTGAGCGAAAGTGTGAGCGAAAGTGTGAGCGAGAAAAACTATGCAAATATGAAGTGTGAGAAAAGTGTGAGGGTGAGTGTGAGCGAAAGTGTGAGCAGAAGTAAGAGGGAAAGCGTGAGATTGAAAAACATCCCAAACATTCCTACCTGAAGTGTGAGAACAGTGTGAGCAGAAGTGTGAGCATGAGTGCATGAGTGTGCGCATGAGAGGTTAACATCCCAAGTATTCCTACATGAAGTGTGAGAATAGGGTGGGCAGAAGTATGAGCAAAAAAGATTTCATGAAGTAAGAGATAACTGTGACAGATACACGCGCGATGATGGAGATCATGAGAATACCCCGG